TGAGCATTCGCCATTACATCAGGTACAGAAACTCGCCTCACCTGCCCATCAAGTGTCCCCAGGAGACCCCACCAAATCACCGACTAATCCTAGCTCTAACAACTCTACCTTCCGCTCAAATGGCTCCTTGACTCAGACCCCGAGACGGACACACTGCCATTCCCAGAAGCGCCTGCCAAATATTGAACCGCGTCGCAGTAGTGGTCTTCAGCCAGCTATTACACGAAGCCTGTCATCGGGAGCCACGCCATTGTCCAGTGTCGCAAGTCCAAGCGACCCATCTGACGACGTGTTCAGGACACGAGCAGTGCCAGAACACTTCACCAGACGCCACAGGGACTCTTACAGCTTGACCAGCAATGATCATTCAACACTTGATCCAAGGAATTTCTCAAGCACTGTGGGAGGCGTGAGACAATCGGACCATACAAGCGTGAGACCCCGAGAGCGCAGCAGTGACGCTACCAGCGCCAGTACAGGTTATTCCTGGTATGGGTCACTTTGTTCGGACACGCGGTTACCAAGTAGTGAGCATTCACGAGATGGTGCATCTCCTTCTCCCCAGCTGGATGGCGTCAGGACCAGGCCACATGGACCTTCGCCTCTTCCGTCTATGCCATATACACGGATGCAGAATGATGGCACCTCCTCGTCACCGACATCAGGCGACTTGAGGCAGATTTCAGGAGGCTATGTCGAAGCTGCCACTGCTGCCGTCCATGATTTGCAATCACCTCTGGATCCGTATGCAGAGCACTATCAGCGTCGTGTACACACTCAGCATGCCTTGCTCAACTCTCCTACGTACGCCAACCCCGCCAATCCCTCGCTCTCTACCAGAGGTAATTCGCCCACTTTTCTCAGGCCAAGTCCATCGCTCAGGATGGAACAACGCTCGAGTGAAAACGCACCAGTTTCAGTGGCAGTCAATCATGGGGATGCAGCCCGTTATGGCCGAGTGCCGGCGCACAGAGCGGCATACCAACGCTTGCAGAGTCCACCTTACACCACGTACTCTGGCGCTATAGGAGGCAGTGAGATGTCATCATCCCGTTACAGTGCGGTGCCGCCCGCGGCCCCGCATGATGCATCCAATCGATCTCGCGATTACTCTGCGGATGGTTCGGCAACGACGGATATGCCACGCGGCGGAGAGGTCTCTCGTTCAGCAAGCACGCTACACATGCACCCGCTGCAACACGAGTTTCAGGTGCAGAGTCACCACGTCGTTGTCGAGGCCGAAGCACCGAGGTGGTCACCACGACAGCCATCGGGCCAGTATAGGGCCGAGCTTGCAAGCCACGGGCCTGTAGGCATGTATCGATGGGGATCTAGCTCTCTGAGCCTGCAACCAAGGCGTGATGGTCCTCTGAGTGCTCTTGCTTCGTTTGAGCAAGGCAGTGGGACTACGAGCAGATACACGCAGTCGTCACTCATTCGAGCCACGGCGGCAGCAACGGGGCGGACGTATCGGCGGATTCGACCAGAACAGCGTGATCAGGAGAACGATGGGGATGGCATGGTGATGCGGCGCGAGGAGGCCAATGTGGCTGCGCGGTATGGCGATGAGGAGCAGCACCGGATCATGATGAATGAGACGCCGCCGAGAATCGGGCGTGTTGAGCGCAGGATGATGGAGTAGGTAGGTGGACGGGGTAATGTTGCAGTTGAATAGAATGGGACATTGGATGATTGAATGATTAGTTGTGGTGGTGGTGGTGGTAATAGTAGTAGTGACATTGAGTTAGTTCATGGCAGGATTATGTCTTGTTCACTGCTAGTCAACAGATCTCGAGTGTAGAATTTTCTAGACATTAATTGGTACTGCTTGTTATGGAGAAAACCAAATATGAGGTTTCTCGAAGCTAGATGTGCTGCGGTCTACAGAGAGGACGATTATAGCGTTGAAGCCGGGCATGGTGTAGGTTGATGTTGACGAACATGTTCTTGTTCCTGCCAAGCGTACCCACTTTTGTTATGCCGTTGTCTTACCGAGAATTGTGACGGAGAAGGTAGTTTGGTACACTAAATTTTCGATAGAGCAGAATGAGAAGACGATCCGACGAGTCTAGTGTGGCTACACTGATTTGTGTTACTTACCACCACATGATTTGTCTGGAACGTGCTGAGCGAGGGGTATGTTCTGCGTCGTTTGTGAAAGCAGTAACTTTGGACATGTCACTGTACATGAAGATTGAAACAAGGCGCGGGAGTCATTAGGCAGCCAGCTGCCTGTTTCGGGACCATGTACGTACACGGTGGCGTGCATTGGGGAAGGAAGGGCATGACGATATATCAAGCGTGTTGGCAGTCGGCTATGACTCGAACTGGGGGCGAACACGTCGATTCTGCGTGCGTGCCGGTAGTTGGATGGCCCCGAAGAAAAAAACCAGTCCAACTGCATTTGCCGTACGAGTACCGTGACATGGAGCATGTAACTCCTGCTTTGTGCATGAAAGGGTTGCCGGCCGACAAGCAGGCCAACAAGCAACTAGATGGAATCGGGCCCTTTTTTTGGGGGGGGCGCGGTCCAGAAGGTAGAAGGGAATGCATGGAAGGCGAATGACAAGAAGCCAAGAAGCCATGGCTAGTATGTTTTTGGGATGCGTTGGGACGTTTACATCTAGCCGTAGCCTATCGGTTGGGTGTGGTCTGGACTGGATGAAACATCATGGGTGTGGTGGGGGGCTGCGCCATGGTGCAATGGCGAATGCGGGGTCTGATTTAGTAGAGTCGAGCGTATAGGCGTACCGTGAATAGTAGCAACCATGGGGCATATGTAAGCAAAGAGGATGAAACTGGGAAGCGCAGTTGAAGCGGAGGCGACGAGATCCGAAGACCAAGATAGAAGATGCCAATTTTGGGGTTTGGGGGTGGGTGACGCGAGCGCTTCGTGGGGTGGGCGGCTCGCACGAACCCGCCTCCCGTTATAGCAGCCGGTGGGCGACTAGCACGCAAAGAGCCTCATCTGGCGCCCGGCATTGGGAGCAGAATGTTAATGCGTCGAGTAACAGTGGATGCAGGTGGTTGCTTGGTAAGTAACATGGGTTGACAAAGAACAGCAGCAATATCCGGTAGGACCTGGGACCATGGGCGCACCCAGTGCGCGAGATAGATGCAAATTAGACGAGTTGCATGAGCATTGATTGGACCTGGGCATTATGTACATTTATCTCGGTGGCTTTGTCGGACGGTGATTGGCCGGCAGGGGGTGGGTGAGGCGGTGCAGCGGCTGTTGAGGCTCTCGCTACCGTTTGGCAGCCCCGAAAAAAGGGTCTGGGCCTGGTAGAGAGTGGGATGGAATGGGGAGGATGGTAGGCGAAGAGTAAGTAGCAGTACAATGAGCAATCCGGCCGTAGCAGGGCTGGACTGGATGCACGCTGGCATGTGGCGGCAGCATGGCGATTTGTGGAGAGCAATGCAAAACAGACGTGTTGAAACAAATGGAGAGGTGTTTGCAATGCGCATGAGCCAATCCCGAGGCCATGTCGGAGGCAAAGCAGGTAGCGCATGACAGCGATCCAAGGGATCCATGGGCCGTCGGTGGTGGAGCTGGCGGAGCTGGCGGAGCGTAGAGCACCATCTGGCCGTCGCGAGAGAGGTCGGATGGACACGCTGTCATGCGACGGGGTGACAGATGGCAGAAACTGCTGCTGATCGCCCGCGGGCCTTGGCGCACATGCAACATTGGGCGTGCTTCGTTTTGTTTAATCATTCACGGGCATTTCGTCATTTGCCAGTTGGGCGCAATGCAGTCGTGGGTGGCCCGGCGTATGTTTTGTAGATGCAATGGGCTGGAGTCGAGTGTTGATGCTCTGGGCCCTATGGTTTGGCCTGCAGGCATGGATTTGGTGGGTGAAGACAGGCAGGCATAGGGTAGAGTAGACCAGATACGTACGAAGAGGCCCTTCCTAGGGTTAGCATAGTGGCGGCAGGCGTAGCGAAAGCTTCTCTGCCTTTTTGCTTGGGCGCCCAATCCACGACGCATTGCTGCGCGTCTTAGTAGTGAATAATACTCTGGAGTCCAGGCACACACACACACACATGCACACACGCACACCGACGATGCTTTTGGCACGCAGAGGCCGCCGCCCCGTGGCCAGAGTATCCCGGGCGCACGAGGCTGGGAAACGGGCAGGTCGGGCTCGTGTGCGTCACTGTACTCTATGCTGCTACTGCTACTGCTACTGCTACCGCGTGGTCGCCTGCTATTCATCCACCACGGCCATGCGGCTCCACTCTAACACGCCTCACCGCCTCAAGCACCATCTGGCAGGCTGGGAACGTGACCGACGTGCGCTGCCAGCAGGCCTGGCTAGTCCCCGCCGAGTCTGCAGATACATAATTGTCGACGACGCCGGCCGGGTGCACAACTGCAACGTCTTGAACGCCTGCAGTGCAGCCGTCAGTCATTGCTATCGCTACCACTACTTACTATACAACACAATACACAATACACTACACCCATTCAGTCTCCCCTCCCTGTCCTCAAACATTGTCGCCCGCCCTTCGAAACGCGACTCGCAACACGCCTTGATTGGCCCTCGCTCCCTGTCGCCTACCGCGCCCTGCCCTGCCGGCAAACCATTGGCTTGCACTTGAAACACTGTGCATTCCTGCCACACTGCCCTCAGCACCACTCGCAATCTTGTAACCCCCCCAAACCGGCCATACAGCCGCTGGCCGCTGCCTGGCGTCGCGCGCTACCCACTCGATTGGCTGCCACTGCCAGCCGCCGAACCACGACGCCCATAGGCCCGTAGGATTGCCTCTCAGTTTAGCATCCCACCTGCACCACCACCCCAGGGGCCCGCTGCTATTAAGTATCACGCTCTGCCAGCCCTCGCAAACACACACACTGTCAGTCACAACCCTTCCCTTCTTCCCTCCCTTTTTTTTTCTTTTCCCACCTCCGACCCTGCCATCCTAGCGGTGCAGGTGCCTCGTCCACTCCGGCAGTGACCCTCGCCTTCCTTCCCCCTACTACTAAACGCCACCACCCACTACCACTACCACTACCACCACCACCCCCGACTCCCTTATTGGCAGCGCCATCCACACCCTCTCTCTCCACAACACCAAAAAAATTTCTCCCCCCTCCCCCCCGTCTCGACTGCCTTTCGTCTTCCGACTGGACTCGGACTTTTCCGTCGCTCTAATCTTTCTGCTGCCTTGCCAATTCAACCTTGTTGTCGTGCTGCCACCAAGCCACAGCACAATCAGCCTTGGACACCCGCTTACCCACTCTCCAGACCGGAACTACATTCACTTCTTAAGACATCACCACCACCACGCCAACCTAGGCCCACCACCACAACACACAATTTCACCATGCCTTACTCACCAAACCTTGCTGCCGAGAACCAGGCGGCCCTGGACCACTTCATCCAACTCCCAGTGTCAAGTGACATGATCTCATATCTTGCTCAAAAGGCTACACAAGTCATCCGCTGCGAGCCATGCGTCAACAAGAACCTGCCCCCCACACCACCAGCCTCGCCCTCGCAGCACATTGCCTCGCACCCCCGGGAACCGGCCCTTCCATCCGTCGAAGAGTTCATCACTTCCATTGTCGAGAGATCACATGTCCAGACGGCCACCCTCATGTCTTCGCTCATCTACCTCAGCCGGTTACGGTCACGCCTCCCCCCTGTTGCAAAGGGCATGCGCTGCACTGTCCACCGCATCTTCCTCGCCTCGCTCATTCTTGCTGCTAAGAACCTCAACGACTCATCGCCCAAGAACAAGCACTGGGCAAAGTACTCGTCGGTTCGCGGCTACGACAACTTTGGCTTCTCCATCACAGAGGTCAACCTCATGGAGAAGCAGTTGCTCTTCCTCCTCGACTGGGACCTCCGCATCAACACAGACGACCTCTACTACCACCTTGAGCCTTTCCTAGCCCCCATTCGTGTCTGGCAATCACGCCAGGCCGAGAAGGCCAGGCTTGCCGAGAAGGAGAAGGAGCTTGCCCGCAAGCAGTACCAGCTCACTACTGAGAACCTCTCGCGCTCAGTCCACACCTACCCATCAAACTCATCCATGTCTTCACACTCTTCTCGTGCTCAGAGGCATCGCATGCAATACGTCCCATCATCCCGCGCACCCTCGCGCACACCCTCGCTATCACCACCTACCCGAAGCTCCTCGGCCTCAGTCTCATCGGAATCGCCTTCCAGCTTCCACGAGGAGCCTTCAGAGGCCGTTCTCCACCGCTACGACGCGGACCAGGGTGCCAATGTTGTATATATCAATGGCCCTATCCCGTACGCAGCCCCCAAGCAGCAGCATGCTCTCCCGCTGTACGAGCACCAACCCTCCAAGAAGGTCAAGACGTCAGCGGGCGGCATCTTCAGCCGGATGTTCGGCCAGACGGGCGCATATACCGGCCGTCAGGTCACGTATTAATTTGATTTGCTATCTTGCACACACACACTGTCGCTTACCACAACTTTGTCATGTTTCCTTCTTTGTGTTTTTCTTTTTTTTCTTTTAGCTTTGCGCTTGGTTTCACCAAGGGGAGTCTCAACGGGTGTTATACGGCTGACATGATCTGACGAAAAATGCTCACTGGATGGGACATTTCTTCGCCCATCTCGTCACCAGTTGCATTGGAAGGCGTTCATTTCTAAACATTTGCATAACACAGCATGGAATCGGCGTTGGAAATTATCATCCTCATCACATCATCAATAGTTTGTCGGAGCACCGACACATGGCTACTAGTTCAAGGTTCGCTCCGCTGTCTGTCCTCGTTTGGCAGGTGGCGCGAGTAATGAAAAAATCATTAAACATATTTTGAATCACTCCACTTGTCGCTTTTGCATCTTGTTTTGGCTTGGCGGAGCACCAAACGGCCTGGGTCTCCGAAAAATAAAACAGCATGACGCCCTTTGCTCTGCCTTTCAATCTCGGTAGATTGCATCTGACGGGGCGCGCTAGGGCTGCAACGGCTATCTATCACACGGCACGACTAGAGCGTTTGATCCAACTAGCGGGAACGACTGTTGCATTTGGGCCATGCGCGACTCATATACATTACGCGACCTGTGTGCCAAAGTTCCAAAGAGGGACGTGGGATCAATAAGACGCTGAGACCCCTCGTAGATCCATTATCAAACACGACTCACACACACATGGCCGAGGGTAGATGCGACATTTGGGCCGCGGCAAGCAGAAAGGGGACATGCCGCGTCCGTCCCTCTGCTTTTCCGTCCAAACTAATCACACACACACACACACATACGAGAGGGGCCCACGGTATGGAAGAAATATACTCTTGCCTAGAGCATCAGAATTGTTATAAAGATCGACCGATGACGGACCGGGCTGCAGGTGTGTCTCAGCAGCAATGTGTGGAGTATAGCTTATTTCGATAGTAGAGTAAGTAGATGACCCGAATATCTGTCCGCAAGGCACATGTAACTATGTCATCCTCCTTTCGTATCTGCCTCGTGATGCGACTCGGGCATTTTTCCTCTCTCTCTCCCCCACTTGGCTTTTCTTCGTCCGTCTCCGCTTGCGCAGCCACATTGGGCTAACAGACTATACCGTATTACATGGAACCAGGTTCTACCTGCCTACCGTTTGATTGAATGATCTACGTCTGCCGCTTTTTTCTTCTCTCTCACTCTCTTGGCCTTTGTGTGTCCCAGGCCCGTTGCGGAAAAACCAATGAAGTGCGGCATGTAGGTGATATTTGAGACCGGAACTAGGCTGACACGCAGCCCGCAATGCCAACCATTGAAAGATTCCCGCGGTAAGCACGGCATCACCTGGGACTGAACGACTGGATGGTATGTGTGTGTGTGAGAGAGAGTCTCGAAACATCAACGCCACGGCATACACCAAGGCAGCACAGCATATGTATGACTACTCTACATGATTTGCGAAGAACAAGCCAAAGAAAAGAATAGTGTGCATGCTCATCTAACTTAAATCAACCACATTCACCCCCCTTATCAGCAAAAAGCCAAAGAAAACGAATCTTTCTCGCTTCCCCCCTCCCCCCTACCCCCCTGCATCTACCTGGCGTTGCAAGCTGCCTCACCCCCCATCCCGTACATCCTCATACCGCGTAACGTACTTTCCACGTATCCAAGAAAACACAATTGTCACAACAATTGGAAACTTAAATTTTTTTTTGCCGTTTTCTTTTCAATTGGGGTTTGCGCGCGCACAACCCGGGTGCAGATCAAACGGTTGTGGACCCGGATTTCTTCAGATATTCTGATACTCTCGGCTTGTTGCTTGTACATTAAGTATTTAGCCCTTTGAGGGGGGCCATGCAACCCCCGCTTTGCGCGCGCGAGCGCCCCATGTTTCATCTTTCTTGGCCCTTTTTTTGCTTTTCTATACTTGACTGGGTTTAGTGCGGGAAGGGTTATACCGGTAAGGGTTTAGGTGTGGTGTGATTGGTGGGGTTGTTATTGTGGGGCCCGGACGGTTGCGACTAGACGGGGTTGGAGAGGATAGGGTTGAGATCGTCGGTGGTTTTTGTTTCATCGTGGGTCAAGATGGACGTATGTATGCCTTTGCCTACGTGTGCTTGGTGGCTCGGGGGGATTTGGCTTCGTCGTTGTGTACGTGGCCTGTGGAAATACATATGTGGAGGGGGAGGAGAAAGTGATGTCATTGAGGGGTGCTTCATTCCATGCCATGTCTTCTGCATATCTGAAGACATGCAGTCTGCTAGATATCGTGTGGTGGTTAGTTGTAACCGCCGTTGGTATATGAGCGCGAGGCGTTGTCAAGACGAAAAGTTCAGCCTTGCATTGATTGGGCTACCAGCACTATCTCCCACATTTTGTAGTAGTACATTGTCGATCCCCTTGAACCCTTACCTAGTCTTGGACTTGTGAATGGACCGAGTGGCTTTTCTTTTCCGATGAGAACCTGTTGCATCCACTCATACGGAACCCGAAGCTTATTAAATGCACACACTAGTTAGTTGTTAGTCTTTTGTGATAAATATCAGCGCGAGTCAGTGTTCGTTCTGCATTCTAAACTACATACACTACACATACTATCACCAGTCACTATAGACCCAAGCCGTCCATCGCGTTATGAGTACCCAACCGTCAAAGTCATCTCAGTTGCCACAGATGGTATCATCAATGCTGAACTCAATGTCCTGGTCCAGTCTGGCCTGGGCATTATGTTCAAGTAAAGCCCGAATAGCTTCGCACACGGATTCCGCATAGAAAGCACCAGAGAGCCTCAAGATACAGATCATAGGGCGAACGTTAAGAGTGAGTATCAGCGTGGGCACGCATCCTTTCATGTCCTCGTTGATCACGTCGGTATAGCCTATGCCCAATGATTCAATCGTAGCTCTCAACATGCCTGCAGCATGGACGCAGTCGACTCCGGGCATTGCTAGCTCGCAAAAGTTGGGCAAGCATTCCCTGCGTTCAGCATTGTACCTTTGTCCAATCGTCTTTGTGTCGCTCACGACACCTGGATACATAGCATAGAGCTTTTTGACCACTTCCTTGCAAGAACAGCTCATCAAGAGCGGCTTGTACCTGGGATCGCGCATATGTGAGGAGGGTAGAGCGCGCGACCATGGGCCTTGGCCACTTCCCCATTGCGGTCTTGTATGACTCCAGGATGGTGTTTCTCGATCACCTATCACAGCGAGGTATGCTAATCGCGACTTTTGAGCGGAAAAGTGGACGTGGCTCGTGGTGTGGATGATGCATGGACGGTTCATCTTCCTGGGTATAGCACGCTGGCTTGACAGTTGCGAACGAGAGGTGGGTTCGTGATGATGAGTACCCCGTAATTGACCGGGGAGTCGTCTTCATAGAGGCGGTTTCCATCTACCGACGGCTCATCGTTGGTTCTCGATTTGTTGCATGTCACAGGGTCGAACCAGTGGTTGTTGTAACGCCAAGGAGTGGTGGATTGGGCATTCTGCAGCTGTTCCTCGGATTCTTCCACATCAATGTTGGATGGGAACTATTTAAAGAATCCGTAGTACTCAAGCCCATCAGGCACCTCAATATCATCGCCATTGGGGTGGTAGCAGGCTCACATCTGTTCAAGAGACGCAATGTCCTTGGCGCGTATGGTGCTAGTGGTCCCGCAAAGGACCAATTCTACCTCGTCTGTTGCATCGCACTCATGCGCCACAACGTCAATGGAGTTGTATTGGGAGGTGCAGCTATCAAAGTTGAGACTATGGCGGAGATAGCTTCCATCAACTAAGGTCAAGTGAACTTAGACTTTGCATTTGTCTTTGTTCTTGATTGAATAGACAAAGTCAATTTTATCCACAAGAGTGTGAATACCGTCTGATTGCATCGGAATCTTGATTGTGACACCAAGGACATCTATCGACCCGAGACGCCAGGGTTCCTGGTATTGGCCTCCAGGTTTGACGCGGACGTTTTCAGTGTGACTAGGACTGAGGAATGGAAAGAACCAGATCCATACGCTATCCTGACATTTGTTGGTCACGATGACTCGAGCCTGCACTAGGGCAAAGAGGAGCATCGTAGTACAGAAAAGGCCAATCATTTGACGAAAGAGCAGTAGAAGTCACTAATGTGACGAGTACTCTGGCGCTGGTTGGTTAGGACAGAGGCAAAGTTAGATGGTGAAGGGGTAGATGGATAAAGAAACGGAAAGGCATTCATGAAGTTCCCGACAAACGTCATTAAAGAAGGCCACAAGAAGTAGTTTTGGTAAGAACCCTCTTTCACGATTCTCGGATGGCGTTGGAGTTGTCAGGTAACAGGCATGGCAGGTCGTGTATCGATAGCCAAGGTAGGCATGCTCTATGAGGCTCGTTCGTATTTACAACAGCTGTGCATGTGCCTGTGGAACGCCTCTCTAGTTCATCATTTGGAAAATGCTGCCAAGTATGCTGCCAACCGCTAGACATATCTAGCAAGGATATCAGTTCCTTGTTGGTTACGATAATCGCGTCGACATATACTATGGATGAAAATTTGCCGTTATTCGGATTTGCCGTCGGATTATCCAGATCAGTTGCTTTCTTGTGCTGGTGGCATCGTTAGATTTTGGTTGATACAATCATGTCGGTGTGGTCGAAACGGAGCCGTCCGCCTTGGTGATTGCGGTCACAACAACTCCATTGTCCAATGCGTATATCAGTTTTTTCTTGTTGCCGAAAAACAGGTGTCGCATACGTCGCAGGTACTGAATCGTGCGTGAAGAAGGCTTCGAGAAGAGAACAAGTCTGCGCTTGTCGGGGTAGAACTGGTACGTACCAAGACTTGCCTGGGACTGTGAGGGCTAGCGGCTGTGCGACCTGAGGCGGGCATGAAACACTGCAACCCTCAGCATCAACGACAGGAGAATAATAAGAAGACCATGGCCCCTGGCATGCCTTTGGCCATTGTTTTTCCTACCGCAGTCTCATTTCTTCTTTTCCTTCCTCGCTAGTTTTTTGCACCGCAGGTCCGGTACAGAGGTCCGATTCGCGCCTAAGCCCCAGAGACGCGCCAGTAATAGTACGCGCCCCGCCATCCTCGATGCGCCAACAAGCTTCCTGTATCGACATGCCCGCCATGCCGTCCGGAATAAAAGAAATCCCCGTCCAGCTGCCGAAAAGCTTCGACCGCCCCGATGAGCCATGGCATCACTACCTTACCATTGACCTGATATGGTACGTCTTCGGCTACACGATATTCCATCCGTTTGTCTCATGGGTCGTCGTCTTGTGCCTGCGGGCGCAATACACACCGTACGGCAACCTCGAGATGCGCCTCGCTACTGCCTGGGCTATGCTCATGTCCATCATTGGCATCTTTGGCCTGCTTAGTGACCGCATCGCTTTTGGACCGCCGCGCGAGGTGGATTTGGCCGAAGAAGTCATCGTAGTCACGGGCGGTGCCGAAGGATTGGGCGCACTCTTGGCCGAGACATATGGCATGCGCAATGCCAACATTGCTGTTCTCGACACCAAGAAGGTCGACGACGAAGTGTCCGAGAACACGGGCGTGCTGTACTATGAGTGTGACGTCAGCGATGCACAACAAGTTGAAGCCGCTGCAGCCCAGATTGTCGAAGATGTGAGCATATCTACTCCAACATATCCCATTGCATACTGACAACCGCAGCTTGGGGCCCCCACCATCCTCATCAACAATGCAGGTATCATGCGGGCCAATTCGGTCCTCGATTCGACCGCCGAGGAAGTGGAAAGGTACGCATAGAGCTTCGCCAACATGGACATCTGCTGATACACCAAACAGGACGTTCCGCGTCAATACGCTTGCCCACTTCAACACTCTCCGCACATTCGTACCACATATGCTAAAAGAAGGCCGAGGCACCATCGTCACTGTTGCCTCTGTCCTTGGACACCTCGGCGCGGCTAACCTATCCGCTTACACTGCCTCCAAAGCGGCACTCCTGGCGCTCCATCAATCATTGCGCGCTGAACTTGCGCAGAACCCCGACGCCAAGCATATAAAAACAATCCTTGTAACACCTGGCCAGATGGGCACACAGATGTTTGCAGGCCTCAAGACCCCAAGCAACTTCCTTGCGCCCATTGTTACACCTGCTGAGATTGGCAAGGACATTATACGTATGATTGAGAAGGGCGATAGTGGGGAGATTGCAGTACCCCTCTACTCAAGATATGTCCAAGTCCTCGGTGTACTTCCCTTTGGCATTCAACACCTCATCAGGAGATTGAGTGGTATGGACAAAGCTGTAGGCCGTATGAAAGAAGTGCGACAAGAGTCAAAAGAGAAAAAGTAGCTAATGTTTTATCCAAACCCAAATATACGTTTCAGATGCCTGGGCATCAGAATACATACGGTACGGTTGAGAAACGTAAAAACTCATTACACATAAGCGCATACCATGATTTATTGCTACTCACATCGCATCTTCTTCTCTTACTAGTGTTGAAAAGCTTGAATCGCATTATAAGAACGATATGCGGTACTCTGATAGCACTTGAAGCTTATAATAAGATCTACACAGCGGCCTGAGACCTCTTAAGTCTCCGCGATATTATAATGGACTATCTTGATGAGCTTGACGACTACGCAATGCAAACACTCGTCGAATTAAGTGGAGGCATTAATATGCCTTCTATTGCCCACACTGCCGCGAATCGAAACACGTTTCCCTCTTGAAAACGCTCCGCACACCGCCATAGACGTGTGCAAGCAACTTATCTGTTTCGGTTGGAACATCCTCTCTCAAGTACCCAGGATGGAGCTGACATCCTCGGACTTTCCTACGTCCCGCGGCTCAATTCTGGGACCAGGGAAGACGGCGAAGTACACTTCTGCTGCCTATCCCAATTCGATATTGATGTGCTAGACTTTTGGCTCGGCGAACATTACCCCACGAGGAACTTTACCAAGGTTCGACTCAATATCGCGCATAAGGATCCTCTCAATCTACCAAACTTAGGCCGCGATTCCACTCTTCCTCATCATCTTCCATCCAAGCCCGTTTCGCCGAATAAACAGGACACCAATCGAGAGGATGTGTACCCAATGATTTACTTCTTCTACAGATCACTAGCCTCGCCATCACGACTATCGAGGCTCTCCAATATTCCCTCCTTTCAGCATCCCCGCCTTGAACGTGCAACTTTACTAAATGGCGACATGTTGACATGGGCGGGTAAGTATCGAGCATTGGTTGATTGCCCTGGCAAAAAAGTTGATGGATACATATATCTAGTAATTTCCACGGACCATGAAGTTGCGTTGAGGGTATATGCAGGGGATAGCTATCAAATCGTATGCGCGAGCGTCATGTTGGAGGGGAAAGAGACGGAAGTGAGGACATTCCGATTTTGTGGGTTCGAAGATAAGTCGGCTCGGTGAAGGATCGATCAATAACACAGTCTTCACTCATAATCGAGTCACTCAAGCTATCTAGTTCGGTCTTATCCCTCATTTCCCAGTTCTTTTCTCATTTTCAGAAGTCCTCGACTTTCCTGATCGACCGCATGGTACGTGCTACTGTGATCCAATCTTTCCAAGGTCGACATGATACAACAGCCATGTTTTGGCCTTTGCATGTACCCAGACTGGCCTGTTGATTGCACTAAGCTTCTAGACGGAAGGTGGTGGTCAAACTGCTCATAGCTGTATACCTGTATCTGCCTCATTTGTCCGAGCTGGTAGATGCGAAGATGACTAGCTAGAAGTATACAACATGACCTGTTCGCACCCTACTCATCTCGTATTTCATGTAGGAGGTATAGGTGACAATTTCTCAAAGCAGATATGGCCATCTTTGTGCGATACGATGCTACATGATCTTGAGACAAGATTTAGACACTTTGCCACGATGGTCTTAGAAAGCTAATGCGATGGCAGTCGTGCCTTCTTTCTATCACATCATGCTACCGTTAGCTTATTTATGTATATTGCTATGTACATAAATTACTTGAATTTTCATCCCCAATAGTCCAGCATACATCAGTAGAGTACTCCATCTCCTGGGACAGAAGTAAGTCTAACTCTTCATCTCTTGTTTGACTTAGGCTATTCATGACTTCAAGTTCCTCATCGGTACACATTGACAACCCGAAAACAGATTCTATAGTTACAAGGGATAGGCTGGAATGTGGAGTACTCAACAAGTCTTCATCCAGGTTGCAAAATTCTTGGTTTTGCATAACATCTGGCGTATTCATCTCCAAAAGAGTATTTACCGAGCTTTGACATGTTCCGTATCGTTCCGCAGATTGTAAAATTTCCTCGAGGTTAGCAAATTCCCTCAATCTCTTGAATAAAGAGGTTTCGGACGCTAAAATCTCTTCAGCCGACCAACCATAGGCAATGAAGCCGTCAATGAGCGCTCGAGTGGCTATTTCATTGTATGACATGATGTCTTTGTATAAAACTGGGGCTTCTGCAATTAGGAATTCAATGATAAGCCGAATATCTGCAGTGCTTAATTTTCGTTCCCAGCTATAGATCGGGTTAGCAACCACGAAATCCAAGTTGGTGCAAGATGATAGCCATACATTGTAGACACGTTAGAACCAAGGCGGAGTATAAACCCGGGACCGCCCTCCATCAGAATTTGTAGATAGCCACGGCCTGCTTTTCTTTCTGCTTTCACAATATCAACTGTCGTCGAGATTATCTCTGCTTGCAGTTCAAAGGCTGCAGTGATTCTGCCACGTCCTTGAGAAAGAATAAGGTCACGAGATTTAGAAAGCTCGTCCAAATCGTGTTCCAGGTAGATATAGCAAAAGCGAGCTGCATATAGGTATTGTTCCCTTGCTCTCTTGATAGTGCGATGGCCATTATATAGACTTCGAAGTCGAGCTTTGGTGTTAGGCATACTTGGTTTGTTGAAGATCGCAGATCGTGATTTCCACATGTTCTTCGTAAAGTCTGGGGCTAACTCTGGTGCCTCAACTAGCCCTTGAACTGCTCGGAATAGATAGTCCAACCTTGCTTGGCGATCTCCAAGACGTTCCGCAAAGAATTGCTTTGCTCTCCAAAGCACATTTTCAGATTGTGCTGGTATAAGCCCTTCGGAAAATGGATCCGTCTCTTCTGAAATATCGATATGATATTGATTGCAAATCGGTGGGGTTGTAAATGGCGAATTCCCGTGAGTGGATGCAAGCGCATCGTCCGAATTCACGCGTTCTGGAAAACTCGATATCGATTCCAATTCAGATTGAGAGGAGATGAGCGAGTCTGGTTGCGATGGCGATGGAGACAATGTATTCATACTAGACGGACTGGGAGGTAGTGTACCAGAAGCTAACGATGCTTTGAGCTTGTTAGTCCCAAACGGAGAACGGGTGGTGTGAATAGAAGTAACCTTTGCATCGATGGCTTCTAGAAAATGGTCCACTGTCACGAAAGAACTGCTTCCTTTTACGCTTGCGCCCTTGACCTTCATCTGTGTGCATCAAAGCGGTCATGGAATTGCTGGCTGATGCTGATCTTGAACATTCACGTGCCTCTGTGATATTGAGAAGAATTTCAGCTTCATGGATCTCAGGTAGTAATTGTCGGAGCTGTGGCACAGTCCCGCGCCGCAGGAACTGTTGGAAACTCTCTCTTGCCTACAAAAACATCAAAAATGCTCGTTATCGGCGAGACTCGAGTTTGTAGTTCTTACTGAAGAACCCACGACATCAGCCGGTGAAACTTTCTCAAGAACCCATCGCAGGACTTCTATAGGATCGGAGTTCGCTCCGTTCATGTTGAATAAGATAAAATATACTCCGAAGAGGGTGGTAATAGGTTTGCAAGTGTGGCGTATGAAAAGATTATTGTAGAGAGTAAGCCTGCTTTTAGCTTTCCAATACTATTCGGCACACTCGCGGGAGAAAGTACGGTAATACCGACAAGATTGACACTCCAAAATATCTCCGCACCAATTCAAACTCAACAAGATTAACGTTGCAAATTTAAAAAGCTTAATCCAGAAAAGCTCTCTCGGCGTTATCTGATTCACGTGCTATACTAGTGCGGAGAATACGATTCTCAGAATCACGCTAGTATTAGTGCTTTCCGTCCTATTGTTCAGTGTTTTACAAGCTGCGGCTTTGTATGACGCGTCTTGATGTTGTAGGACTATCCGCTAACGTCCAATATCGGTCTGCTAGGGTCTTACTACACGGTTTTTGGCTACATTTTCCTGGCGCTAGTCTGTAAAGGTAAGTAATTCTTATGTATGAGTCGTTCAATGTCTGCATTGAAACCCGAAGATTCGAAAAAGCTCTAGTTAGTGCAAACTAGATACTCTAGTCAACTATAGCATTTTCCTAGCCTTTCTATAAAAAGCAATCTTGCCCCCAAAAGCTCATGATCAAACCATTTGTTGGGCAGAATAACCGAAGATAACCCCTCTCCTTATAGTGATCGAGTGGGGCAGGGAACACATTTCTTTGGAGATAAGATGTACCGGTCACTAGATGGCAATTTGGAGCATGTAGCTGAATGCGTGGCTTCAAGGATGTCGTGGCACAATGCACGGCCTAGGACAGTGCAACAAGAAGGCGCTCAGAAGAAGTCTTCTAAGCTATTGTTTTTCATATTCAAGCCTACTTTTGCTTGGGAGGACTAATTTCATGGATGACTTGAGTATCCTGTAAGCGGAGAGGAAGATCATTTCTAAGCGCCTCGTATTTCTCACGTATAGGATATGCCGAAGTGTTACTTGGTACCCGAGATTCCCGTCAACCTGTGAGGGCTCATGTCTCGTATTTAGGGTTCAGAAGAACGCGTTGGCAAATGCACAGTCTTGAAGTTATCCTATGGCCGTAAATAGAAAAGCTTGATGCAGAAAAGCTTTTGCTAAGCCGGGGTGCCACGGTACAGGGACAACGACCTTGCATCTATAGACCCGGAAGTGAAGATGTTGGCTAATTCCTGTTCGTCATGAATAGCAAGGATATAATTACCCCTATTCAAACCTGTAGATAAAACCCTGGTAGTATTTTTGCGAATGATGGACATTTGTGCCCAGCTAGTCGTTCAATTCGATACGTAGATCGCCGGTCATGCTAGGTAATAATCATCTTGTGATCAGCGGCCCATGCTGTCTATTCAGGACGCGACACAACAAATCCCGCCAACTCCAACATACAACCCTCGATGTGAAGGGTATCTCAACAGAAAAAGCATTATCTGATGTTCGTTGTCAGTTTTTTGCAGAATATATATTTCCCAGCACAGGGTATATGTTACTTGATTTGCAGGTGCTGATATGATGCTCGAATACTGCTGGGTCGTGGCGTAGTACCTAGGTAGCTTCGCTTGCACCCTAGGTATGACCTCGGCCCTTCTGCAATTTACCAATTCATTCTGATTTCGGCTCAATCTAGCCGAGATATGCAATGCGCGACACAAAATACCTCGATTGTTGCCACTTCAATGACTGTGGAACACGACAATAGTCCAATTAAGCAAGTCGACAAATCGCGCAAAGTGAAGAAGTCAGTAGAGACGGCACGTGCAGATATGCCAATCCTTTTTGATACAGTAGCTTTCGTGTCTCAATGTTCTGTTTTCCATGAAAGGCACAATAACAATTTCCTCCAGAGTTGCGACATCATGTTCCTCGGTTCCGTAGACCTTTCGTCCATACTGCATGAATCATGACCGTCATCCATGTACACCGATAAGACACTAGTTTGTTCGTGTAGGTCACGAGCCGTCCCCAGATAACGCACGAGGCAAGTTCTATCAAGTGATTGTATCTGCTCGGACCGATTGAAAGTTGTAAGTCATTATAGCTTCAACCTTAGCCTAGGCCCTCCCGGCGATCTGTTTCCTTATATGTATAGCCGTAGAGAGTGGCTTTATCCCTAGTTTCGGTCGGGTAGGAAATCGAGTTAGCCAGCAAACGATCCGCAAGTACGTCATGCTTATAGCGCAACACCTAGCAAGGATTATTTACACACTTACCTTTAACACGGATGTGTCTAATTTCACCTTACTGTTTGAAGCTAAATCGTTACGACTGCACTAGAGGCATCCACCGAGCGGCTACATGAATGTGATACTTTCGGTTTTGCTACTTACGACATTTTATTTGATTCAAAGAACTGAGCGTTTTGCATAAGCAGAACACGGTACTGCTATATCCTCTCAACGTGTAATGTAAGTACAGGGGAATGTATTTGGGCCTGAAACACTCACATATTTGTCGAAACATATTACAATAGTGGGCAACGAGTAATTAGACTTGCTTGGTATATGATGGTGCCATTCAAGTTCCCGGAAGAAAATATTTCCCGTCACGTGATATGTTCAATGATATAGTGGTGATTCTTGTGATTCTGAATGCCGTATCATCTAGGGCATGATTCAGATGCATGCTTGTTGGAAACGTAGTATCTGGATCTCTCTTCGGGCGGCATTGCAATGCCGTGCGGCCAAAGGTATGACCGATCTTTCAAAAATTTGGACCGATGCACCAAGCGGTCTGATCATATGTTACATATATTACGGTTACATTCTTCACTCAGTTGTTCAGCACTTCCAATCATTATCGATATGTATTTCTTCAACCATTTCCGAAATAAAGAAAGAAGTCTTTATGACGCCCTGGAACATGAAGACCGCCAAACGGACGCCACCACGAAAAAGACCAAAGGTCTTTGTAGTAGTACAGCTTTGCCTTGGGGGTTAAGCGCTTTCCTTCTTGTCGCACTGATTTTTGTTGCTGTGAGAACAGAGACTATCGACAAAGTGTCTGAGCTGGGGACTTATGAGTTTGGTTTTGTGACAGACATAGGTAATGAAGCTCTGGCAGCTTAGGAAAACCGCTGCTGATGGGTATGTAGAACCAGCGCGTGCGGCAATATCCCTGAAGCGAAAAAAGTTTTACGGAGGAGTCAACATCGATAAGCACGGATCATACTCAATTACCAAAGATCCTAATAGCACAGACTTTTTTGCGCCCCTAAGTCCAAAGCTTGATGCTGCATGGAGGGAAGAGATGCTGCTAAGTAAACACACTTCTTTCAAATGACCCTGAGTCCTGAAGTGACCATTACCAGACGGCACACACGGGTTTTCAAAGTTAACGCCAGACGAAATAAGGAATTCTGGTATCCAAGTCCTGGATGAAGACCTCAGACATGGACACTATGAAATACAGTGCGTATCCATTCCTGCTCTGAAAGGGCGAAAATACTATCTAACCGGCGAACCAAAGACCAAGTGCTATACACTCTCTTCATTGTCTGGTGCGTTGTTTGTTACTCTTCCCCCCATTTGCGAACTCATCACTAAAACGAAACCTGGAATTATATCAGAAAATCGCTTGCCAGAGATTACTACACGGATATCACTGATGAGCCTGAGAGACCATATCATATGAGCCATCGAATGCATCTTGGTATAGCTCACTTGACGTACTGAATTCAACCTATTATCATGCTAATCAATGATTTATATTGTAGACCACTGCCTGGAAAACATTCGACAGCATCTGACGTGTAGCTTCGATTTAACCTGGACGCTTCTCGCCTGGAGACCAGAAGCCAAGGTAGCCCATGCAGCTACCGATCAATGGCACGTATGCAGGAATTTCGATGCCATGATGAGCTGGATGGCCAACAGGGTCTAGTCAACACCTCCGAAACTGGGAGAAAGGAGACCGTTAGCAAAAAGGTGTAATTATACGGGTCAGAACAGTGCCAAGTTCGAATTGTCAGAGTACATTTCTCATTGGATGGGATCACCACCATCATTTGCGAACAACAGCGTCTAAAGGCGCTGAGCAGTAATTTCTCACAAAAATGGGGGTGATAAAGCTGACTTGAGTGTATTGTGTAAGAAATAGACATTATAGTTCCAGGATTGATCAAAAGTCCAACAGAGGTTATGTACTAATGAATACTGACCCATGAGTGATGCTAGTTTTGTGATCAGAGATACTATGTCTTAACAACTCAATTCGAAATTTTCCTGATGTTCAACAGTGTTTTTCCATTTCTCAGTCGCCACAACGGCAGACAGCACCAGTACAGATCCAATCAGTGATAAAGCATCTGGGTTGGTGCCCCAGATAGACACATCTGCTATCAGTGCTAAAACCACTTGCAATGATATCATGTATACCGCAGTACCATCCCGTTCTGAGGTCAGTCCGGCTGTAAGAAAGTACTCCTAAGAAATTATTGGTATGATACAAAGTAGATTCGGGAGCACCTACCATAAGAGAACCGGTAATGCCTATTAGTAGAAGGATAATCCATTGTAAAGTGCTAAGATCCCAACGATACTCCATACCTGGTATCACGGCGAAACAGACGCTGCTCAGAACCAGGACGCCTGTGGCAAAGCAATTTGTTACGGCTAAAGGGTGGACTCTTTCACCAATAGCTGAGATCATGGAGTATGCTATCTGCCTCGATCCATTAGTAGAGAGACATATAGCTTCCGATACAAGCAAAATTTACCATTCCACCAAGGACGCCCATGATTGAGAATGCGAAACCAGTACCTGAGACTGCATGCCGATATTCACTATCATGGTAAAGATGATCAAAAATGAAGTCCGGTTTGGTGATAAGTCCAACACCGAGTAAACACATCATTACCGAACTGAGACGAACCAAATCAAATTTTCTACAGATCAGAAATCCAGCCCCCAGAGGTGCGAGAAGATTTAAAACTGTTGCGTCACCTAGAGTTAGATATGAAAGAGAATCTTAAAGAGTTAGTTTGTATGGACTCCTGACAGTATGTAGACTTACAGTAAAATCCGAATGAACCACAGATTCCGCCAACTACTCGTAACACCAAAAGGTACCTGAGGTTATAGCTTCCAAGTGGAAGCTCGCGCGAATACCACGTCCTGAGGCAAAGACTGTTTAAACTTAGAGTGACAAACATGCGGACCTGAAGAATTTGCTGAGGGTCTATATCGCCAGTCGTTTCCAGGAATTTGGCCAAGGTGTGAACGATGACAGCGAAAACTTGCGATACGAAAACCAGTAATGAGCCTTTACTGATCATGTTGAATGTCCTGCAGGGGCTCTAAAAAGTGAAGATAGGAAGGCGAAGGTAGATGTGCTAGAAAAAAGATAATGTAACTTGCACTTTTCTAAATCATATTGTACAGATATAATGACGTTAGAGAGCATATCCATGTCACATGATTTCGGTTGAGTATCAATGATGGCAAGCTAATCGTACCATCTGGATTTGAACAGCGCAAAACTAGAATGACCGGTGCATTGAAAATACGACCAAGAAACAAAATCTGTTCCATATAGTTACAGTACTAACTCAAAAGTCTGTTCGCACTAGCGTCTGGGCGCACCAACACTACTTTTTTGCCCAATTTCAACACCGTGCAACTCCACCAAATCATATTTAATTTTTAAATTAAGATAAAAGAATTGCT